TAAGAAAGTTGAAGTTTGGTAGTACATTGAGCTCCACAGAGACAGCGCCAGGGCAAGTGAGTGCTGGACGGACACTGGGCAACTCTGTGCCTCGCAGAGGAACAACAACTACCCACGGGAAAAAGAGATCCTAAAAGCCGAGAGGCAAATGTCATCATATGCATTCTTCGTGCAAACTTGCCTGGAGGATCCCAAGAAGCAGAACCCAGATGCTTCTGTCAACTTCTGAGTTTTCGAAGCAGTACTGAAAGAGGTGGAAGACCATGTCTGATAAGGAGAGGGGAAATTTGAAGACATGGCAAAGGCAGACAAAGCTTGTTATGAGAAATGAAAACCTATATCCCTCCTAAAGGGGAGACAAAAAAAGAAGTTCAAGGATCCCGATGCACCCAAGAGGCTTCCTTCGTTCTTTTTCTTGTTCTGTTCTGAGTATCGTCCAAAAATCAAAGGGCAGCTCCCTGACCTCTCCATTGGTGATGTTGCAAAAAGCTGGGAGAGATGTGGAATAACACTGCCGCCGCCGCCAAGCAGGCTTACAAGAAGGCTGCCAAGCTGAAGGAGTACGAGAAGGGTATTGCCACATACCGAACTAAAGGAAAACCTGATGCAGCCGAAAAGGAAGTTGTCACGGCTGAAAGAGCAAGAAAAAGAAGGAAAAGGAGGAAGATGAAGATAATGGTGATGATAAGTTGGTTCTAGTGCAGTTTTTTCCTTCTCTATAAAGCATTTAACCATTGCTTCTCGGCCTTTTGGCTAAGTCCAAGTGTATAAAGCATTTAACCCCCCCTGTACACAACTCATTCCTTTTAAAGAAAAAAAAAAATGAAATGTAAGGCTGTGTAAAATTTGTTTTTAAACCTCACAGTGTCTTTTTTTGTATAGACAACACACTACCGAATGTGTCTTTAGATAGCCCTGTTCTGGTGGTATTTTCAATAGCCACTAACCTTGCCTGGTACAGTAGGCGGGCTGTAAACTGGCATGGAAATGTAAAGCAGGTTCTTGCTGGTGCACAGCACAAATTAGTTCTACATGGGGATGGTAGTTTTTCATCTTCAGTTGTCTCTGATGCAGCTTACACAAAATAATTGTTGTTCTGTTAACTGAGTACCACTCTGTAATTGCAAAGCACAAACTTGCAACTGCTCTGTTCACATTCTCAACGCTTCTAAGTAAATACAATTTTGTTTATTAGAAAAAAAAATAAGTTTAAGACTTGGTAAAGACTAACATTCAGTAGCAAAATCTAGCATCAGAATCAACTTTTAAAGCCAAACACCAACCATCACTTTTGGAGGACGCTGTATAAAAGTCAATCAGAGAACCCCTCGGCGTACAGAAGGCCAGAGTCACTCAGGGCTTCTGAGGTTCTCCCACGTCACGACTGTGCTAAGGCAACAGACGAAATCTGCTCTCCAAGCCAGAGCCAGGCAAAACTTCATCTTGAAATTGAGTTTGTATGTTTCTAGAATCATGTTCTTTTTGCCATCCAAACCTCTTGATTTCATATGAATAATACACTATCTTAAAATTTACTGGATGTTTATGCAATTTTCAAAAGCATAACTTTGTCTGAAACAAGAATTATTCGATTTTACAAAGTCTTCTTAGAAAAGCAAGCAAGTGATGTTAAAGGTACAACTAACACAAAGAGAGTATGGCTAAAAACAAAGCAAAATCATGAAGAAATAAGGGGAAAACCATCGTGGCTAAAGTCCTCGCCTTGAACACGCCAGGATCCCACATGGGTGCCGGTTCTAATTCCAGCAGCCCCACTTTCCATCCAGCTCCCTGCTTGTGGCCTGGGAAAGCAGTTGAGGACGGCCCAAAACTTTAGGACCCTGCACCTGTGTGGGATACCAGGAAGAAGTTCCTGGATCCTGGCTTCGGATCGGCATAGCATCGGCCGTTGCGCTCACTTGGGGAGTGAATCATCGGACGGAAGATCTTCCTCTCTGTCTCTCCTCCTCTCTATATATTTCTGACTTTCCAAAAAAATAAATAAACCTTTAAAAAAAGGGGGGGGGAGGGGAAGCATCATCATTTCCACACAGAAAGTTCCTTATCCTACCACAAACCTCCAAAAAATAAGCATCTTTCTACAGTTCATATTAAATATCAAGACTCCTTTGTATCTCTCCTAACTTTCTCAAGCTTTGGTTCAGGCGCTCGCGTGTTCCTCAGGCCTTCCTGTAGGTAGGACGCCAATGAGCCTTTTCTCTTCTGAATTCCTGTTCCTGCTAAAGTGACAGAACCACTGTGAATGAATACACTCCTTCACTCAGCAAATATTGACTGAACACTTACCCTGAGCCAGGTACCACGTAGGTAGTGGAGTAAGATACACAACAAATGAAGAGAGGCCTGCTCAGTTCATACACTAGTAAGTGAGACAAACATTTACCAAAGAAATGCAGCAATAATTCAATTCCTCTTGTAATGAAGCCACAAAGGAGCATAAAAAACAGCATGGATACCAGGGAGACCGCCTGCGCATTTGGAGAGGAGTGGCCAGAGGTCAAGGAAAACTCCTTGAAGAGTAACTTCTAAGGCACAAGGTAAAAATGGCCCATGGCTCAGTCAAGATTTGAAAAGAGCAAAATTCAGACCACCAGGAGGCAAAGCATGTGCAAAGCTGGTCAGTGAAGACCCAAGGCAGCCAGTAAGGGAAAGGCTTGGGCAGCCACAGGACAGGGAGCATCACTGCGAGCAGAGATGCCAATTGCATTGTTATGCTGTCTTCTCTCTCCCTCTCTCTCACATACATGAAACAATTTAAAGAAACTCAGTCTCGTTCCACAATATTAAAGCTGCCCAGCGAGAAGACCTGTGTCATGCAGTTACTAACCCCATGACCTTGAACAAGTCAACCCAACTGAGCCTATTCTCTCTTTAAAAAGGCACTCCAACTATGCCAGCTACGGAAGACTACAAGGACAAACGTAAGACAGCCTCTCTTCTTACACAGGATAGTCCTTAAGAGAGGCACAGCTCAAAGTCACCCCACGTCCTCTGAGAGATGACATTCCGAGCTGACAAAGGCTCCTGTAAACCCCTAAATGATGGCAAATGTGGACACATCCCTCTGTGAACTCTTCCAAGTCTCCAACGTGCAGATTCGTAAGCGATCTGAGCCCTCCTGCAGATGGCTACAAGACAACCAAGGGAAGACAAACGCCATCAGGACACTCCTGCAGCGGTGAATTATCAAACGCAAATAAACCTCAGCAGTAAAGGAAAGTTCACGGTAAAGCAAACCACACGCACAGACGCAGCACACTCCATTCAGCCCCTGCCTTCCACAATGCACATCAGCACACAATGCCCGGCACAAGTCTGAAGAACCCACTCGGCCCGTCCCCAACACAGCACACACCTGCACTGCCGCCTACCAAGCACAGCGCTGCTCCTTCTCTACCAGCACTCCCTGCTGCTGCGCAGGGCTACCAAAAACTGTCACTCTATTAGCTTAGCACCACTGGACGCCACGCACTCTGCCACTGTTTGCGCTGTCACAGCCTGGCAGCTCAACTGCTTTGCTCAAGGACTGGGTGGCTCACAGTACTAGTTACTCCAGATTTTAGTTCAGTTTGTAACATCAGACTTCCCTCTCTATTCATTAATACAAGTTTTGTCCATTTCCAGAGTACCTGAACTTCCCTTACATGGGACTGCCATACCTTTGATTCCAGAAAGTGTTTCTGCACTTAGAAATTACGCATATTAATAATTACGGCATTTAAAATACAATGCATTTGAATGATCAACTCATATAACAGGTCATCTAATAACTACAATTAGCTATCTTTATGGATGTAAACTTAATGTTAAAACATGAATGTACACACTGCTATGTTTCCATTTAAAAAAAAGTTGTTCAGTAGTAATTCTGATGAGCTACGTATCCAGTCATAACCAAAAGTTTCCAGAAGCTGAGCCTAGAAGCAGTATAGCGTTTTCGGCTCTGAATAATATATTACGTATTTATCATTTGTAACGTAAATAGGAATAATTTAAAAGTCACAGATAATGTTGTTGACAGAAACTTAAAATATGTAGGATCCTGACTTTACTATTTATAAGCACACACACATAGGAGAATCAAATAATGAAAAGGAAATGGATTTCAAACAAAAAAAAATGTTACCTGCAAGAAAAGGCAGTGGTTCTTGCCCAGTAGCAGGCACACTGACCTCTCCCTGACGCTGCGGTATGTGGGGGAAGCCGGAGCTCCCGTGAAGGGCAGCCCTGCCTACTGTCCCAACAGGAGAGCCCACAAGCACCCGGGCAGAAGGGGACGGCCGGCCGGGGGCGCCGGGAAACGCGGCTGTCGTGCACACCCTCCGTCCACGGAGGGATCCTTCCTCTCCCGAGGGGCACAGGGGCTGCTCCACAAAGCAATCGCAGCCCAGGCTTGCTGGCCACCCTTCCCGCAGCCACAAGCACATCGAGCCCTATGACTCGGCCACTTCCTGCCCCGTCCCGAGATGCACGAGCCGGCCTCCAGGTCCGCACCTGTGTGACCTTGGCCCGTCGCGCATTTTCTCGATGTCTTCATCAGCATCCTGACGTGGAAGCACTTTGAGACCAGCGCAGCAGTAAACACACCCTGGGCAGCCCCTCCGGCCCAGGCTCCCGCCCCGTCTCCACAGAGGTGTCACCACCGCCCTGGGCCTGACCCCTCCGCCTCCCCCGCCGCGGCCCGGGGGACCCCACCCCACACACATCCGCCCTCGGCCCTCCCGGGGCCGGGAAGGGACCCACGGGCCGGGCCGCCCTCGCCCCGCGCGCCCACCCAGGGCAGACCCCCGGGAGGCGCGCGGCGTCCACACAGCCGCCTCACGCCGCCCGCGCGGGGTCAGCCCGCGGACGCCCACAGGGCCCCGCTCGCCGCCCCGGCCGCCCCGCCGCCCCGCCGGGCAGAGGAGGGCCCGAGCCGCCCGGCCGCGGCCCCAGGGCGCCCCCAGCCTCGCCGGCCCCACGCGCAGCCCGCGGCTTACCGGCACCTCAGCCGCTGCCTTCACTTCCCACCTCCGGAGCCCTCTCCAACTCCCGGATCAATTCACTCCGGCGACGCCGGAAGGACCCGAGAGGAACCAGGCGTTGTCCGGAATCCTGCCCAGCCGGAGCGGCGCAAGGGCCTGTGGGCGCTCGTAGTCTCGCTCGCAGGCGTCGTCGGCTGTGCCCGCGCCCGGCGGACTACACTTCCCGGTAGGCCGCGCGGGGCGGCCTGAGGCGATAGGCGGGGACTCTTGCAGCCAATGGCAGGGGCCGCTCGGGCCTCTGGGGGAGGCGGTGGGGCGGGGAGCGAGGGGCGCGCAGCGGGGAGGAAGGGCGGGGCCAGCGCTCACCTGCGCCAATCAGCGCGCAGAGCCGGCCGGGCGGGCGGAAGCGGGCGGGGGCCCGGGCTGAGGCGGCCAGGATGGGTGTGCCTCGCGGGAGAGGCGAAGGCGGGGGCGTGCGGGCGCCCAGGCAGCCGGCGGGGCGGGACGCAAGTGCAGGTGTGAGGCGGAGCTGAGCGAGGGGCGCCCGTAGATGAGGAAGAGACCCAGTGGCTTCCTCAGAGCCGGGCGCCCCGCGGCGGGAGCGGCTTCCTCAGAACGGGGCGGCCCCGGCCTGACGGTCCCCTCAGTAGCAGGAGAGGGGAGCGGCTTCCTCAGGCCGGGGCGCCCCTGGTCTGACGGCCTCCTCAGCGCGGAGCGCCCCTTATCTGAGGGCCCCCTGAGGCCGGAGCGCGCGGGAGAGGGGAGCGGCTTCCTCAGGCCGGGGCGTCTCTGGTCTGACGGCCTCCTCAGCGCGGAGCGCCCCTTATCTGAGGGCCCCCTGAGGCCGGAGCGCGCGGGGAGAGGGGAGCGGCTTCCTCAGGCCGGGGCGTCTCTGGTCTGACGGCCTCCTCAGGCAGGGCCGCGCGGGGAGAGGGGAGCGGCTTCCTCAGGCCGGGGGGGCCCCGGCCGGGCGTTCACCTCAGTACCAGGGGAGAGGGGAGCGGCTCCCTCAGCCCCGGGCGCCCCTTATCTGACGGCCTCCTCAGGTCGGGCCGCGCGGGGAGAGGGGAGCGGCTTCCTCAGGCCGGGGGGCGCCGGCCGGGCGTTCACCTCAGTACCAGGGGAGAGGGGAGCGGCTTCCTCAGAACGGGACGCCCCGGCCGGGCGTACACCTCAGTACCGGGGCAGAGGAGCGGCCCCCTCAGCCCCGGGCGCCCCTTATCTGACGGCCCCCTCAGCCCGGGGCCCCTTATCTGACGGCCCCCTCAGGCCGGGCCGCGCGGGGAGAGGGCAGCAGCTCCCTCGGCGGCGGTCCCGCCCCCAGCTCCGGCAGCGGCCGCCCCATTGGCCGGCGCCGGGCAGGGGCGGGGCCTGGGCGGCCGGGGAGGCCCGGTGTCGCCTGCGCCGTCGCTTCCCGGCAGGGCCGAGCGAGCGAGCGGAGCTCCGTGCCCGCCGTCCGCCGCGGCTGCAGGTGTGCGGGAGGTAAGCGCGGGGCCCCGCCGGGGACGCGGCGTGTCTCCCGGCCCTGGCGCCGGGCACGGCTCGGCCGCCTTCCGCAGGGACGCTGTCCGGGCCGAGAGGTGCACCGTCGGAGAGTGCGGAGAAAAAGCCGGCGGTGGCTGGACCCCGCCGGGAGAGGCGTGGCTCGGCTTCGGGGTTTGAGTTGGATGCTGGAAACTGAAATGTGCTTGGGGGCGGGGGGCTCCAGCCGCAGGGAAGCCTGCTGATGAGGGCGCTGGTTCCGCCCGCTGCGCGGCTGGGGAAAGGAAAAAAAAAACCTGTCGCCAGGCGAGTCACTTCGGAACTGCCTGGCTGGCAAATAACTTTGCGTTCCTCCGCTGCCCGCGGCTCCGCTGCGGGTGCGGCTGTCCCGCGACCTGGCCAGGGCCGCCGGCAGGTGCTGGGTCCCGCGCCTGGCGCAAGTGGAACTGCGGCCAGCGATAGCGTGAAGGATGGGTTCCATGGATGGGTCCTCAGTCTTCCTTGCAGCGCGTCTGGGCTGGGGGAACAAAGAGCTGGAGTGGGCCTCCAGCAGGGACGGGCTGTGCTGCCCTGGTTTGCCCCTCTGTGCCTGCTGAAGTGTGTGCGGGTTTCAAACACTGGAGGACGGGGAAGCCGTCGGAGGGGCTTCTCTGTTCAGTGAGTATGCGCTGGACGTGTTAAACGATGGGTACAGGGTTAGAGCACAGCTTGTGCTGTGAAAGAGGAGTTTATTCTTGCTATTAACCAGTGCGTGTCTTCGCTGGAATGTGGTCCTGGTACCTCCGGATGGAAATACGTTGTAAGGATACTAGGTAAGGATGAAAAGTGCCCCGGCCCTGGGCGTTGCAGCAAGGGCAAGCTCCTAGGGTCCGTCCTGGACTCGTTTCCGCCTGGCTTCTGCTGCAGAGCCCCCAGCTAAGGCAGCTCTGGAGCAGGCGAGCTAGCGCAGCGCAGTGCCCAGCACTGAAATGCCTTCACGGGCTCCGTGGGCATTTGTCTGGACGTGCTTTCATATAGTCGATATAATGGAGTAATGATCTTCTCTTTTCGTGTTTTCCTCCTTTACTCAGGATTTTTAATAGTATTTTTGTGATGTACACGAAATTCCTTTTTAGAAAGAACTGACTCATCCGAATTGTCTGCATCGTGTGAAGTTCAGCCCCTCTTGGTGCTACTCTTGACTAGCTGAGTCCCTTCAGCCCTCCCGCAGGCAAGCAGCTCTTCACAAGGTAGCTGCTCCAAGATTGTCCGCAGCGCGCAGGGCCAGTGTTAGAAGCAGCCAAGTGCTTAGAAGGCAAAAAGCAACACTAGCCACTACACTTAGCAGCCATGCTAGGAATCGGGCTTCATCTTTGCTGCATCACTAGAAAAGCTTTCCAATACGCACAGCTGGTGTGAGTCTGAGATGATTTTGCTAGGCACATTTGGGTCCCAGGGTGTAATGAGGCTTGGAAAGGATTGGGTCTGCCCTAGTTAGTCCTAATCCAGTGGAATGTCCTGGTTCAGAGTCTGGCTTTTTTCCCTGTCTACACTGATTCATTTTGCAAAATTGAGTATAGATTGGCACCAGCTTATTACCTTCATTTGATAATGATAATGATGAACACTAGCACTGGAGTTCTTTCAGAGCCTTTGTTAAAAGACACCTTTCAAAGAGTTGTGCTGAGAATTAATTAATAAGCCTGCAAATGGATAGAATGTATCAGAAATGCTGAGACTGAGGTGGACTTTGAATCCCCATTATTTATAAGTCTTCTGCTCTGAGCTACCCGAAAGAGCAGTAGCTCCTCAGAAAGGAGTCGGTTTGTGGTAACAGAGCACTGAATTTTTCACCTGTTCCTGAAGTTTTGGTACTGTTTAGTGTGTCAGAGACAGTGGGTTTGTATCATTTTGGAGAATAGATCATCCTGTTTGAATGTGAGACTTAAAGTGGCAGCTTGTGGTGCTTGGGCATTTGTTTATTATTTTAAACTCTTGACTGATTTTATTTGATGTTCCCATTCATTTTTAGCTTCTCTTGGTTGCCTTTGAGAAGCTCCTGACATGCCAGTTTGTAATATAAAATACTACCTATGTTCAAAGCATGTTTACATATCTGTTCATTTTTGCTGTTGTATTTGGTATCAATGAATATATGATATGTTGAGAAAGAGATGCAGCAAAGTACAGAAATTGCTTGGATGCTCTTTAGCCAAGTCTTGGTTAATTTGAAATTGCGTTGTACCTTGGATTTGGCTTTCAGTTTAAAATTCTCACTCCAAACTGAAGGAGTAATAATAACCGGGTGGTATAGGTTTCTAGCAGGAGGACTCACTGATGCAGGCAGCAGAAAGGAAGGAGATAGAAGGGTTCAAATTCATATGGTTTTTGTAAGAGGAGACAGGAGGGTAGATGTGAGGAAAGCTGAGAAATAGACCTGCAACAAGAAGGAAACAAGATGTGATATTCTCTGTGAAATGTAGGCAGTGAGTCCGCACCCTCTTCATTCCGGAGACTAAATCCCATAGTTGCAGACATTATCCTACCTTTTCAGTTTAGCTGTATGCAGGCTAATATTAATTCCTTTGATTTTGAGTAACTGTAGGCTATTACAGTCTTAAGGATCCTGATTGCTTCTATTTACTGCTAATTTAAACATTATTTAGAAAATAGAAAAGAGGCCGAAGTGATGTTTTCCTCCTTAGGAACAGAGATACTTGAACCAAACAGTGAAAGCCGAAGTTGCTTCCTTTTCTGTTTTGTCGGTTTCCTTGCCTTTTCTTTTTTCCCTCTCTTCCTTGATTATAGGATGCAAGATGACCTGTTATACACAGAGAAGAGCTTTGTTTTGTCTTAATCTTTATTATTTACAGAAATTAATGCTTAAAGTTTGGGAACTTCATTTTCCATAGGGAAGTTATTAACTGCTGAGAGACCATGTGAGTCTTCTCTCTGGCTGCTCTTGAGCATTTTATGTCACACTGGGGGTAATGACTGGCTGAATTAGTAGCCAGCAGTTGCTCATGTTCACCTGGATATGTTTTGCGCTTTGATGTACCAGAATCAGTTGACCTCATAGAAAGATTACTGTGCATTAGTCCGTCTGAGAATGTCCTGTTCCATGTAGCTTTTGTAAAAATATTGATTGAGCAAAATTATATTCAGGATGTGGGGACTGGGAGGACTTAACACAGCTCTGCATGTCAGTAACCCTAACTTCATCTCTGAGCTTGGGTGAGAGGAAAGAGCTCTGACACTCGCAACACCCTAGGGCTGCAGGATCTGGCTGGGGAAGCCCAGGTTGCTGCAGCTGCTACCTGTCGCAAAGGTTACCTTCAGAAAGCAGACTTCATCATAATAGAACCGAGTTTGCCCTTCCTTTTCTCTACTCACTTCTCCCCACCCTATAAGGAAAGATGTCAGAATGATTTTAATCAAATGTGGAATTGGGCATTTACTAGTTTTTGCATTTGATCTTCCACGAGAAATTGATCTGAGTAGTGATAAACTGAAGATTTCAGTATATTTTCTTATGATTGTAAGACCTGAGCATTCTAATTCACTATTTAGTTCACTCTGGTGAAATGACTAGAAACAGATACTGTCTTTTGCTTGCTGTTTCACATGCATTATGCAGCATGCTGCTTGTTATACATTGGTTTGGAACTGACGGTTAGTCTTCCTTTGGCTTTATTCTCA